AAGCGCAGGTATTTATACTAGAGAGAGGATGAGTGAGATGGACACGTGGCCGAACCCGATAGGCTGTTACCTCTGCCACGAATGCACTCATGCCTCTACTTGCTATTGCCATAATTCAGCATTAAATGTGGCTCGCACTTGCTGACTACCCGTCCGGGTAGCGCGTTCGGCGTGCGGGACCCCTCTGTGGGTGTTTGGATGTTAGTACTTTGTTTGATTGTCTCGAGTGAACAGATCTACCCGAATGATGTTCAGGTATCCCCCATTCGGGACGTCTTGAGCCCAATACCCCCACAAGTGTTTTTTAAATCAAATAACTAATTTATTAATAAACGATAGCAAAGATGTTCTTTTCAATTATCCGTGAGGTATATACGGAATGGGAGTTTTGGTGTTTATCTCTCTAGGGCGATTTTCGCCACTAGGGTTTCTTTGTCCACTATCGGCTATACCGATGAGCGGCCGTCGGGGGTGGAGGTCTGTCAGCGAGTGGGGCAAGGTCTTGCAAAAGGTCGACGGCTGTACCGTTTTTGTGAGAAGTGTGCAATCGAGATTGTGGTCTTGCAAAAGATCGGTGAGGACAATGAAGGATTGATCTTCGACGATGACGTTGGAGGGGAAATTGTGGTGAGCGATGGGAAGGTGACCGTTCCGGTGGTTGGCATGATAGGTTCTCAGATGAATTTTCTGGAGGTTGAAATTTTCTTCTGTCATACTACAGCAGCTCGCCCTCCTCTGGAACCACCTCCCTGCGAGGAAGTAATTTGGGAAAAGTTTTTATTTTTGTATTGTTTTTCCTTTCGCAGTATTTATTTTTATTTCAGTTCGAGCAAGTATGGTCGAAGTATTTTGATTTTGGATGAACTCTTGATAGGCAGTGTTTTATTTTCACTCGTTTTAGGCTTCCTCTTGCCCGTTTGGTGTCTAGCGAGTCAGATTGCTTTGTATGGGGTGGCTGACTCTAAGTCTATTCCTAGGGCTTACGATCGGATCTGTAATATTTGTCTCGATTTGGTCTTGCATGTTTGCTCTATTTTAATGGAAACCCGATTTGATGATTAAAAATGATAGCAAAGATGCAAGAGATTGAATAGTTATGGCTATAATGGGATGAGACATAGAATGAAAAAGATCTAATGAATCCTTACAGATCGTTAACCTCGCAATAATGTAGTCTAGTCTAACAGTCTTGTTGCTCTTCTTGCTACTCCAAAGAGAAAATAAAAAAATACAACGAAAAGATTCGGATTCACCAGCCATTGAAAAAGGAGAATTAGTTTAACCCGCAACCAACAAAGGAATATCGGTCGGGCAGAAATTTTTTGAAGCATCGGTTTGACCAGCCACCGAAAAGGAGATCCTGTTGATCATCTTCTTCTTCCCAGAGTGAGGCGGTGGTTCAGGTGGTGGACGAGTATTTAAAGCATCAGAATAACAAGGTTGAAAAAGGTTTACCAACCATGAACAACAAAATTCACTAGATCGATTACATCAATTAAAAACACACAACCTCTAGACATTATTAGGAGAATAACTTACCGCACGCTCACATGAAGCGGACAAAATTCTCGACCAATGAAGAAGCTAGACCAAAATCCTCGAAAGTAAGAATTAAAAAAGAGCGGAAGCATAGAAAACCCTATGATTTAATCTTTCACTGCATAGAGAATATCACCATCTTCCAAAACTTTTTTGCTGGTTGAAAAGGCAAAGACTCAAAAACCAGGTCTTCAAGGAGGTTGTGGGTGGCCACCTAGGGTTTCCCCTAGGATCGGCTCTCCAAAAGTTTTTTTTTAGCTTTCAAATATCTAACTTTATTACTCACGTTTTTGTCAATATTTAAAAGTGGTCACAATTTCGGAAATTGACTCCAATTTAGTAATGTTCAAGTAAAAACTGCAAACAAACACAAACTACTTCGTATTAAGCTAGCTAGAAGCCTGCAGACTATGGAGAAGTATTTGGTGTCAACTTTGGATTAGCTTTCAACAGCTCAAATAATGCCTCAACAAATTGTTGATATTCTGGAAAACGCTCACTCACCGCTTTCACGAACGAGTCACCATTACTCCACTTTTTGTAGCTGTGAAACTGATCGAACATTTTATGAAATGATCTACACATGTCTGGGTCACTTTTATGAATCTCCTTTGCAGTAGTTTTAAATTTCTCCCAAACTGGATTATGTTTCAGACACCCGTAGTTATGCTTCTCCATATCAGCGGAGTAACACTTCTTCCCTTACCCTACGCTTGAAGATTTTGTAGCAACAGAGCGCTTTCTCCCTCGCCCAATGTTCGAAGATTGTGCGACTGGCAACACCTTCTTCCCTCTTCTGGTGCTAGAAGATTTCTCATCTTCAGAGCGATTCAGCGCACTCCTTGTAACGGGAGCCATTTGAGACTTGAGAGTCACCGTTCGTTCAGCTCTCCAAAAGTTCGTTGATATGTTTTTCCTTAACTATGCAACATTTTGATAAAGTATCGAAATGAGATTTAGTGTGTGTTTCGTTGACATGTTTTATCCATGATTTACTTTTTAGAATGCCATTGATTTGTACTAATTGTGAACTCCAATAACCCGATCAATGTTTGAAGATTTTTAGCATATTGTGAAAGAACTTCACCATCGTTTGGATCAGCCACATGATGAAGCTCCCACACCAGTTTAGGCTCTGTTAGCAACCACTTGTGCTTAAATAAAAACACTTTTTGGAAAAAAGTGATTAGTAGTAAAAGTAGGTAATGTTTGATAAAATAAGTGCTTTTTGTGTAATAGAAAAAGTAAAACGTAGATTCTACACGAAAACCAAGAAAGTAAAAGTTGATAGTGTTTGGTAAAATAAGTGCTTTTTTCTTTAAAAAAACCAAAATCACTTTTTTTAATTGATTGCAAACAAGCCCTTAACATATTGTGACAGGACTTTCACCATCGTTTGGATCAGCTACATGATGAAAAAAATGGTTGAATATTTTTTTAACAACTGTTTATTAATTGAAGTTTTTTCCCATTTGTTGTTATCCATGTAATATTTATTAGTTTGATATTCTAGTGTTAACGATTTAATGATAATACATAAATTAGTTAATTATATTTTTTGTTAACGATTAACCGGTAACTAACATGAACCAAACGATATAATACCAATAATTCATATTATCGACTCCTTGAGGAAATTGATAGAATCAGACGTATATTAAGTAGAGACGGATATTAAACAAAAAAAAAAGTAGAGGCGGATATTAAACAAAAAAAAAAAAGTAGAGGCGGACCTTAATAGAGACCCGGGGGGGCCACGCTCCCCCCATATTTTTTCATTATAGATATGAGAAAAATATAATTGGCCCCTCAAAATATAAGTATATGTAAAATTTGCTTTCTCATATTTCAATTAGATATTCACTAAGGGTAAAAAAAATGAAAGAAATAATAAAATAGAAATTAAAAGTTTGAAAGCGACACATAGTCTATATGATTCTATTTATTATGAATGATTGTGTATTATGTTAAAAAAAATTAAAATTTGAAGGCAAATCACATGCATTATAATACATTATACTCTGTATGAAACTAAAAAATGAGGCACTTCTCATAATTAAACTTTTGACTCAAAAGTTTTGTTAGAGGAATTTATCTATTTGGAGAAATGCCGAATACAATTTTAAAGATTTAACTTTACTCTTGTAATAATATATATTTATCTTTTCTTCTTGATTTTATTGTCTACTTTATTTTTTTCCTAATTTCGAACATCATTCAATTACTAATGCAAGGTCTTCTTACAAATTAAAGTGAATAATATTTGTACTAAACAAAAAGTAATACTTTGTTGTCTACTTTGTACTATTTTAATACTTCACTTTAACTACGGCTAGTGTGTATCCATTGTGAGGGCAATAAGGACATTGCTTCCTCCTCAACCCCAACCCATGCCCCTATATAAAACATAAAATTTAATAGGAAATTAAATGACTCGAAGTAGGAGTTAAACATAGGAAACATTCTAAAATGTGGTTAGGAGTGTTTTATTTATCGTATATATCGGATTTATGTAATCCTATTAACAGAATAAAAGGATAGAAAAATCGTTGGGGGGAATCACCGAATTTAACTTATAATTGAAAATTTTCTCAACTTTTATTTGCACACCTATAATATAAAGTGATCTTCTTTTTATACATATTTGTACATTTATAACTTAAACTAAGTCTAATCAAGCAATATTAATAATGTATTTGCTACTTTTTTGAAATGTGTGACTGAGTTTTGGTGTGAGTTGGTCACTACTAAAAAATTGAATACGCTACTGAATCCGTAATTCCGTAATTCACAGGGGCCCCATGATACGTTTCTTGGGTCTGCCCCTATTATTAAGTTAACAATTCTTCAATTCATTCAAAGAATCAAACTCACCTAGCCTCACCCATGTTACAAAACTAGTTAAAATGATAAACTTTCACTTAATTGAAAGTCTGTTTGGTAATATTGGAATTGATTAGATTTTTGGGATCAAATGAAATTGGTGAAATGTGGTGAATTTGATTTGGGATTTTATTTTTTGGGTGATATTTGACTTTGCACTCAATTTCCTAAATCATTCATGTATGCACAATTTTTGGATTTATGAGGGTGCAAAGTCCAATATCATCCAAAACATGAGGTGCAAAGTCATTAATCGCTCGTAAAATATAATTTTGATTAGAGAAAAGTGTCAAATAGGTCCACCTACTTTAGGCAAAAAGTCAATTGAGTCCATCTACTAATTTTTCAACCAATTGAGTCCACATTTTGTTTAAAAGAAGAGTCAAATCTGCCTTTTAGCCGGTAGCACGCAGGTTAGCCCGTTTCCCGCTTATGTGGCATCTGACGTGGAAGATGAATAGAAATTATTTAAAAAAAAAACTCTCTCATCATCAGCCTAACAAACGAAAGGAGTGAAGTTCATCTGCGACTATTTTAGAAAGAACCCTAGCCATTTAGTTCTTATCTTCTTATCTCAGGAACGAAAATGGCTGCTGCATCATCATCGACTTCTAGTACGGGAAGAGGACGGAACTTCACTCTCGATTACGAGCCACCAGTGTATTGCTTCTGTGGACTGAAAGCTCCCCTTTGTGTTTCGAGACAGAGTGGGAGTAAGTTCTATGGGTGTCAAAAATGGAAGGTAATTGTCAAGTTTAATTAATTTTCAATTTGGGTGTAAAAGCTGATATTAAGTGTTATTATGATGCATTTGGTTAACACTGAATAGGTTCATGGGTGTGGTTATTTTGCCTGGGCGGATAGTATGGAAAGTAGAGGGGTGGCCAACGTTGCAGGGATGAATGAAAATGCAGATGATTTGAAGTTCATGGTTTCAAGAGTTGGTGAACAATTAAGTGCTCTACAAGGCCAAGTGAATGGTGTGAGAAGGGTACTTCAAGCAGATGCAAAGGATACCAAAATGTTTAGAAACCTTTGTGGAATTGGTTTGGTTATAGTAGTTGGTTTACTGGGAATGGTTTTTTATAAGTTGAGTACTATGTAGTGAGAAACGTTGTGTAATAATGCATTGTACTGGGAATGGTTTTTTGTAAGTTGAGTACTATGTACTAAGTTTACTGGAAAAAGTTGTTGGCTTGTGTACTGGATGTAATTGAAACATTGTGTAATAATGCAAGAGTATTAATTGATGGACTCCCCTGTTTTTCAAATGGATCAGATGTGTATTCTTTTGTGAAGATGAATGCAGAATATAAATTGATGTGTATTTATGGATGAATAAAGGCAAGTTTTAATCTTCCATCACAGAATGCTGAATATTTTTAAAGATATTATAGGTACCTTATGAAATGTGGGTACTGATGGAAGCTTGAATAATAAATATATCAATATGAATGTATCAGGTACCCACTTTTCCATCAGTCATCAGAATAATAAACTGTATGAATGCATGACTACCTATAATATCAAGGCCATGAATGCAGAATCTGAAGCCCATCTACCATGAGTACCCACTTTTTCTAGATGAATGCAGAATATTAAACAAGATGTAAATAGGGACCATAGAATAATAGACCACAGAAGCTGTGTACAACAGATTTCAATAACACAAACACAACACTGCAATTAGGAACCATGATTAAAAGGGTTTTGTAATGTATACATAAACCAAATACAACATCCCAACAAAAAACATCATGTCCATGAATAAAAGGGTACTGTAATGCCCCACTCCCAACTTTGAATCTGGCCTTACATCCATAAAACAACAAAAAAGCATAAAGGCTACTTTAAAGGTCACAACAACCCACTTTAAAGGACACAAAAAGGACAACAACACATGGACTACACACACACTTTTTATCTTCTTCACGCATCCACACACACTTCATCAGTTCAGCAAAGGCAAAAAAATGAGTATCCTTATCATCTTCATGCATCCACACTCACACTTCAGCACTTCATTTCATTTCTACCATTTCATGGAGTTCCTCCAACAAGTCTTTCACTTGGCTGTCCTGGCTGCAAATAAGTACAAAAAAAATAGTAAGTGCTTCTAAATATGTAATTTCTTTTAAATTTTACAGATCTGGTAGTATTCACTTACATCCACCAATGTTTCACCAGTGCTAGCATCAAAGTAAACCCCAAAACCTGCCTGTCTTCGATCCCTTTGCCCTCTCCCTCTCCCCCTCCCTCTCAACCTACCCCCTCTTCCCCTTTCACTTGTTCCATGGTCAACAACTTCACTCTGACTTGCAGGAGCCTCATTTGTTCCTCTTCCTCCCCCCCTTTTTCCTCCATGCCCTAAATTTTCCCTCCTTCCTCTAGATTGATCATTCACACCCCCTGACACAGCTGAATCAGTACGACCTCCTCTCCCTCTCCCTCTCCCTCTCCCTCTCCCTCTCCCTCTCCCGCTGGGTTCCCTAGCTGTGGTGTTGTTTGTACAAGAAGATTTGTTGTGACCTTCTACATGACAATTGGGGCATGTCATGATCCTGCCTTTTCTACTCAGTTTTGTACCCGAAGTAGGTTGTTCACTTTCCTCTCTTAACCTCTTTTTTTTTTGTCCTGCCAGTCATCTTTCTTGGTAAAGGAGGCATCATTTCTTCATGTTCTGTTCTAGGCCATAAGAGCTCTCCATTTATTAGTTGCAAGGTATAAGAATAAGTCTTCTTATATAGGTCTTTTGAGTACCAATTGTGCACATAGTCTTCTGGAAGGTCTCCTTTATCCAATATGGCACAGATGGCATGAGCACATGGAACACCACTGAGATCCCATCTTCTGCAAGAGCATGTTCTTCTATTCAGGCTCACCTTGAACTGTTGTCTTCCTTTTTTTATCTCGTAACCATCATCACCATTGAAGTCAACGTGCCAACCTTGGCTTGCTAAAACATTCCTATTTAGCTTCTGCATAATTATAGGTCCAAATTTCCCTAGCAAGAAATATATAAGTGAAACAGGTTTACAAGTCATACATGGTACAGAATGATTGAAATTTGGAATTAAAAATTTCATACCAGGCCACCTTTCCACATATTTGCTTTTCTTTGCTATTCTTTTCATCATACCAACTCTGATATCCTCAAGCATGGGAATCAGTGGCTTACTTCTGCATTTCAGTAGGCTGCTATTGAAAGCCTCAGATAGATTGTTATCTACTGTATCACACTTAACTTCAGTTCTAAAATAGGCCTTGCACCATAACTTGAATGGGTATTTCCTTAAGTCATTACCAGCTTCAGCATCCACCTTGTCTAATTCTGCTAATGCATCGAGCACCTGCTCTTCACATGTGGACTTCGCACACTTCCAAAACAATTTTCTGAACATCACCCCCCTATGTGATTTGCTCCAATTTGCATGTATGTGCCTAGCACAGTTCCTGTGCTCAGCTTCCGGGAAGATGTTTGCAATCACATTACACAGACCCTGCATGATATACATGACTGAATCAGTGTACTATAGAATTGCATGATTCACATGTCAGAGTATATAGTACTGTTATTTATTGTGTAGTATATATAGAATCAGTGTGTAACCTAGATAATCAGTTTGTATGTAGTACAGAATCACTCTTTATGCAATCACTCTTAATACAGATTCAGTGTGTAGTCTATAACTATAGTAATTGTCCATTATATATGATCATCAATGTATATGTACAGTATAGTCTTTACCAGTCTATATGTATGCAATTTCAACTTGATTATACACTATAAGTTTACAATGTTTGCTATAGTCTTTGGCAGTCTATATGTATGCAATTATAACTTGATTATACACTATAAGTTTACCACTTCTGTGTCTTCATCAGATGTCACACCCTGATCACTTGCACAATTTTCTTCTTCTTCTTCTTCTTCTTCTTCTTCTTCTTCTTCTTCATGTTCATCATTTTCTTCCATACTGGCATGGCTTTGTTCCTCTGATGTGCATTCATCAGCCTCAATATGCACTTCATAAAACTCATCAAGATGCTTGTGTGTCTCACTTTGTTTGAGATTGGTCTGCATTGATTCTTCTTCCTGGATTTTACCTTGTATATCTCCTTCCACCTCTTTTATAAGGCCCTCATCATTAGGTCCAGGTAAAGGGAGAATCAATTCACACTCATCCAAACCATGCTCTACATATATCTCACACTGCCCACAAGTAGTAGCCATATGTATCAGCTGAATTGTGGATGCATCATCAAACAGGGGCTTCAGGTCATCCATAGGATCACTGGGTGCTTTAAAAAACAGTCCTCGAATATTACCATAGCTTCCAGAATGTAAGAACTTCATTAAATGAGGATAACATATCAAGTCCGGATCTATTGGGATACAACCCACTTCTCCACCAATGTACATACTTTGAGGCACACTCACAAAGTTCCCACCATGGTGAATTATTAGCTCAACTTTATCAAACATTCTGCAAAAAAGAGAACACAATGCAAAGACAAAAACCACAATAAGGCACAACTTCGTCATTAATCAATCAACCAACATATACATGTTCATAATCATTCATAAACCCATAACAATACTCAAATACAGAACCATAATTCAAAAAATCCAAAATCAGAGGAAGCATGACACATACGACACTCCACAGAGAAAAAGAACAAAGGAATCGTCATAACCTACAACCCTACATACTTACATGGAATTATTCTCGTTCCAAACGTTTGGTAACTTCCAATTCCGGCTTACACTTGCGATTCAAGAAAACCAGACTGTCATTCCTTTAGCGTCTGCGAACTCTAACAAAGAGAAGACCGATAAATTTTAATTCAATGTAAACGTCTATTAGGTTTAGTTAAGGGCTGAGAGTTTTTTTTTAAAATAATTTTTATTCATCTTCCACGTCAGATGCCACATAAGCGGGAAACGGGCTAACCTGCGTGCTACCGGCTAAAAGGCAGATTTGACTCTTCTTTTAAACAATGTGGACTCAATTGGTTGAAAAATTAGTAGATGGACTCAATTGATTTTTTGCCTAAAGTAGGTGGACCTATTTGACACTTTTCTCTTTTGATTAAATTAACAGACTCGGATGAATTACAAAAACAAAAATCTACACCCCAACTTGATCGACTTTTGGAACCAAACTTATGCTTTGATCGGACTTGGCATATATTTCAATAGCAGCAGTGATACACTATGACGGAAACTTGAAACCTTGGTTTGAGATAAGCATTTCCATTTTATAGGGGCAGAGCCCGAATTTATTCATAGAGGGGTCAAGAAAGAACACAAACAAAAGAACAACTCCCTAAACAAGGCTAAAATACAAATAAAGTCCATATATAAGACTATCATTGTTTTATTTTCAAAATAGGAATTATGCCTTCTACTTTGGCAAACTTCAATCAAATTATTTTAATAGGACTAAATAAGATCTATTTGGGGAGTAAAACCTATGGTGTCATATTTTTTACTCATATGTACGGAGTATGTAATTATTTCACGAGGAATTATCCTTTCAAAACTACGTGACAGTTTCCGTTGTCCGGGCGCTACGTTTGAGGTGCTTCCAAGTGGGTTTTTATGTCATTATGTGAGAATGTTTTTTAATATGTGTAGATTATTTACATCAAATTTCAGTTCAAAATTTCACCGATCAGAAAGTCAATTAAATAAAATATTGAAAACATTTCGCCAATATATATATATATATATATATATAAACATTATGAAAAATTCTACCCGAAAACATGTCAAATGGAGGCCAAGGCCCCCTGGCCCCTACCCACGTACATGCCCATGTAAAATGTGCCTACATTTTATTTGCATCCACGAATTATTTGTATCTTCTATAACAAAACGCTAGGTGTGATATAGTTACTTCTATCTAAAAGTTTAAAACTTAAAGCATACGGAGTGTGTAGCATCGATACGGGTATGCAGAAACGTTAAAACACCGAAACGGGTACTGGGATACTGATGGATAGTCTACCCGGGGGGTATCTTATCCGAGGGGTTATTGCGGGAATAACTTAGAGAGAAGTCAGAGCAAATAGGAGGAGAGAGAGTCGATTTTATTAAATGAACTCAGCGTGTGGAGTTGAGATGTAGATGATGATTTACAAGGAGAAATGGGCTGCTATTTATAACAGCAATAAATGCGATGAGAGGACACGTGTCAGTAATCCAACGGCCGAAGGGTCACATCAGCCTGGTGGCACCGGCAGTGGTACGTCAACCGCATTG